AATTTAGAAAGAGAAATATCTTAAAAATTAGTAATTTTAACAGGGTGCCTGGAGGGCTCAGTTGGTTAAGTGTCCGACTCTTGGGTTTGGCTCAGGTCATGATCTCATGGTTCATGAGTTAGATTCTCTGGCTCTCTCTCTCTCTCTCTGCCCCTCCCCTGCTCACTCTATCTCTCTCTCAAAATAAATAAATAAACATTTAAAAAATAGTAATTTTAAGATTAGAGAAGGATTTAAATTGGCCAGGAGAACAAAGCATTTTCAAAACTCTCAACTACTTAAGAAATCTCCATGATAAATCAGTGATATGCTACTTGCATATCAATATAGCTGTTTATTAAATCTTCTCTCAGTGATATTACAGAAAATATTTGGTTAACCCATTTTTTATACCTTAAATAAATCACAGTATCCACTTAGAAATAAAAGTACTCATTTACATTTTAGAAAATTACTAGGTGTCTACCACATTTCAGGTGCTGTTCTAAATCCTGAGACATCAGCGAGCACAATGCTTATAATCCCCGTTCCAGTGGAACTAACATCCATCCAATGGGTGGGATCCGGGAGGGGTGGGAGGACAGAAAATAAACAAGGCAGCAAATAATTAAATAATGTCAGATAGGTAATGGGCTAGAAACAAAATGAAACTGAGTAATGGATAGAAAGTGGAGGGGGGTAAATTGCTGAAGGGAAACTAACATCACTGTCTCTGGGGTGGGAACTGAGCTGAGACATCTGCGGGAAATTACAAATCCAAGGTAAGTACAAATCCAAGGAAATTACAGGTAAACCTACCTGTAGACCACTAGTACATAGGAATAAAAATCTAACACATGTGGGCGCCTCTGTAGCTCAGTTGGTTGAACGCCCAACTTCAACTCCGGTCGTGATCTCATGGTTGGTGGTTTCGAGCCCCGTGTTGGGTTCTGTGCTTTGCATCCTCTGCCCCCTCTCGCGCTGCCCCTCCCCTGCTCATGTGCTCTCTCTCTCTCTCTCTCTCAAAAATAAATAAACATTAAAAAAAAAATCTAACACATGAAAAACAGACCTTCTTCTAACATTCGCAGGGTCCAGGGCAACAATATAAATGAATGCTCACATACCACGTCTTAACATTTAGAAATTGTAACTCAAGATAACAAGGCGGTAAAGGAAATGTATTCCACACTCACACCTTGACAATATCACCACACCAGAATGTGATGGTATGAGCAAAGCCTGCCTTCAGCTCTTGACCTAGCCCCCTCCTCCTACTTTTGGACTCGAGTCTATACTGCAAGGAACCTTATGCACCCACATGTGGACTCTTTGTGTTTAACTTCTTGGAAATATTCAAGAAGTTGTTGGACGGTTTCTACAACATCATAATTTTTAGTTTTCCACAAATTTCTTTAGCAATTAATTCCTGTCTCCATCCATACCTTAAATATTTTATTCCTTAAGGCTCTGTTTTTGAGTCCTATTATTTCCCATTTTACACATCTTCCCTAGGTGACCTCATTCATTTCCATGATTTAAATTATTGTCAGCAGGCCAGTAACTGTCTCCCTCGTGCCGTGTTTTTCTCTAAGACTGTCTGTTTGATAATTACACTCAGAAGTCTCTCCTAGCTCAACATGTCTGAAATTGATTTTATTCTTTTCTCCCCTCAACCTTGTTCCAGTCTTCTCTGCTTCAGTAAATAGCACCCTCCCATCTGAGTTGCACAAGTGAGAAATTTGGGAGTCATTCTTTACACTGCCCTTTTCTTTACCTCTTTCCTCCACATCCAGTCAGTCACTAATTACAACAATTCCATTTCCTCAGTATCTTTTTAAAAATTTTTTAACGTTTATTCATTTTTCAGAGATGGAGAGAGACAGGGCATGAGCAGGGGAGGGGCAGAGAGAGAGGGAGACACAGAATCTGAAGCAGGCTCCAGGCTCTGAGCTGTCAGCACAGAGCCCGATGCAGGGCTTGAACCCACAGACCGTGAGATCACGACCCTAGCTGAAGTCAGACGCTTAACCGACTGAGCCACCCAGGCGCCCCAGTATCTCTCAAATCTACCCATTTATCTATAACCCCTATGGACACTATCTATATTGTTCAAACCACTGTTTTTTCTTTCTTTCTTTGTTCTTTCTTAAGAGATAAGTCTTTAGATTTTTTTAAAAAAATGTTTATTTGTGTTTTTGATAGAGAGAAAGCGTGAGCTGGGGAGGAGCAGACAGAGAGGGAGATACAGAATCCGAAGCAGGCTCCAGGCTCTGAGCTGTCAGCACAGAGCCCGATGCAGGGCTCAAACTCAGAATCTGTGAGGTCACGACCTGAGCCGGAGCGGGATGCCCAACCTACTGAGCCACCCAGGCGCCCCAACTGTGTGTTCTTTATGAATTGACGAAAACTACTCACATCTGAGTAAAGATCTTCTGTACCTTCATCTGGATTCCTTATGTGTGCATGATGGTCTGATGGTAAGACCCTTGGTTATGTCCCTACCACTCTTCCCCACCATAATCAGGGCTGTGGGGAGGGGAGCCACAGAGGACTACATATCTTGCTGGGCTCAGAGCATGATGGTGGAAGATATGGTTTCCCTAGCCATTTTGCCTCTTCAACAACTTTTATCCTGAGTTATTCTTCCTATTATCTCCCTTGCTGCAGACTAATACCAGAAGAGGCATACTGAAAAACAATAGCCTAAAATTAGGAAAGTTCCTGAAAACTCTTGGTAAAGGTTGGGTTAGGACTGTACTTTGTAGATTACTGTAGGTCGGATTTGATAAAGGGATTGCATGTGGGTTGAAGAAGTAGGACAGAGGAGAGAATGACTGAGGGAGGCAGTAGAAATTAAGCCATGGTTTAATCCAGAAGGACGGTAAGTAATGTTACCCAATCAACAGAACTCTTGGCAGCTGACTAGATATGAGGGCAGCCAAAGGTGGGCGGGAGGGAATCTGGATTCCCGGAAGAAGGAAGTGGCTATTAACATAAACAGGGGAGCCTTGGTGGGACTGACCCTGTGGATAATAGTGGACATGTCTTTTAAGTGCGGTGACACCTAGTAAAGGTGACCAACAGGCAAGTGGAGGGAGGCTAAGGCTGCAGACATTAAGGCTGGAGTCATCCAGATGGAGGCAAAAATTGAATCTCAAAGGTATGATTATAAATATAGAGAAAAGATCATGGGAAAAACCTGTGTCTAGAAGACAAGAAGTAAAAAGAAAGCTGAGAAAGCACAGGTATTCAGAGAGAGAGGAGGACCAAGAAAGTGATGTGATGGGAAAAAATTAGTACCAAGAAAAGCTGTCTAGGACTGGTAACTCCAATGTTGACAGGCACTGTGATTTATCTGGGAAATGGATTGCATCACATATCCTGGAATTCATTCTTTATAAAATGTATCTATTTATTTTGAGAGAGAGCGAGAGCGAGCACAAGTGCATGAGTTGGAGAGGGGCCAGAGAGAGAATTCCAAGCAGGCTCTGAGCTGTCTGCACAGGGCCCGAAGCAGGACTTGATTCCATGACCCTGGGATCAAGACCTGAGCAGAGACCAAGAGTCGGACACTCAACTGAATGAGCCACCCAGGTGCCCTGTGGAATTCATTCTTTAAAACCCAGACCACGGGTGCCTGGGTGGCTCAGTCAGTTAAGCATGGGACTCTTGATTTCAGCTCAGGTTATCATTTCACGGTTCGTGCGTGGGTTCAAGCCCCCCTCTGTGAGCACAGAGCCTGCTTGGGATTCTATCTCTATGCCCCTCCCCTTCTTGCACTCATGTGCATTTGTGCTCTCTCTCAAATAAACTTTAAAATTAAAAAAAAAAAAAAGGTAGTCCAATACACTCATGTTAAAAAATGAGGACACAGAACCTTGGCTGTTCCCATGTCAACAAAAGAAGTTATGGAAATATTCCACACCTCATAGAGCATGGTCCTTAAGAGTGCCAGAACGCTTGGCTACCACTTGATTTCCAGTATTCCTGCCCACTTACATGACTTTGGACATTTCTATGTGCTGTTTCCTCTTCTTTCATGTGAGGGACAATAATCTGTGCAGAGTTGTTTTCAGAATTACACTTAGCACAGGGCCTGATGCAAAGGCCCAGGAATTATCATCAAAACTTATAAAGCACTATGGGCGAGAGACTTGTGAGTGCTGTTATTATAGGTAGGTATTAACTCATTTAACCCACCGAAAAACCCTGAGGTAAGAATAGATATATTCCCATTTTACAGATGAAGAAACTTAGACCCCATGTCAAGACTTAATACCTAACTTAACTGCAGTTTCATTCTCCATCCCACTCCCCGATGTGAACTTCAACCAGCCACATTGGAATTTCTCGGTCAACCCCTTACCCTTTGGCAGGGATGCATTGCCTAAAACAATGCAATCCTTGGTAATAAATTGCTTTTATGCCCTCTCTCTACCTTAAAAACAAACAAACAAACAAACAAACAACCCAAAGCCTTTTCTGCAGCTCAGCAGAGCTCCTTTTGATTTGCTAGATGGGCGCTGCCCCACTCAGGAATCCTTCAGTAAAGCCAATTTGATCAATTACTCACTTGAATTTTTGTTATTTAATAATGACTAGTGTAGGCTTAAGCCACAAATGAGTGGCACAGGCAGGACTTAAACCCAAGTCGTCTATTCCACAGCCCCTGCTCACAAGTGCTGTGCAGTATGATACCATACATCTTCACTAATGAAGAGGAAAAGCATCCCTTCACTCAGACTCGTGGTTATTGGAGGCGGAAAGCACCATCTATTCCAGCACTTTCCTCTTAAGTCCGGGAAAGGGCCATGCACAGAGGGGGTGTTCCCTGAGAGACAACGACCGGCCCAGCAGGTCAGAGGCCAGCAAGCCTCGCTGTCCGAGTTTCCCAACACGCAGGTGCCTCGGCCTCCCGGGAGTAAGGAGGAAGGGAGGAGCGCTCGCCCAGGCCCCGCCCCGCCTCGCCGTGCGCAGCGGTGCGCCCCGCCTCGCAGTCTCGCTGAAGTGCCGCAACCATGGGGACAGCGGCAGGCAGTAAAGCGTACTTCCAGAGGGGCAGTCTGTTGTGGTTCACCGTCATCATCCTTTCATTTGGGTATTACACGGTAAGGGCAGCGGCCGCCCTGAGCCGTCCGAAGAGCGGAGCAAGCGCTCCTCCAAGCGCAGGACCTGGGCCAGCCGGGCCGGAGGGGTCGCGCAGGCGCAATAAGGCTCGGAGCCCCGAGGGCGGGGACCGGGCCCGGGAAAGAAGACGCAGGCGCACTCGTGTGCCCGCGCCTCTCCCGGGTTCTCGCGGTCCTGAGAAACCTGCTACCCAGGCTTTGTCGGGATGGGGGCGGGGGCGGGGATGGTTCCCCATCCCACGATTCAGTGTGTAGATCTTTCAAGATGGTGGTGACGAAGTCGGAGGCCGGCAGGGCTGCTTCTGGCTACTTCCGTCGAGCCAGACGTTTGCCCTCACTGGTCACCGTCCTGGGACTGGGCTATTTCGCGGTGAGGAGTAGGGAGGGGTGGTGCACCTATTTGGGCCCTCCAGGCCCTTGTAGGGCGAGGGTAGCTCAGACAGCGAGGTCTCGCGCTTGCGCGTCCGGCGGTTGCCTAGGTTACTGTCGTAAGCGGAAGGTCGGTGGGCTCACGGGACGGTTTCTACTCCACCTGTCCCTCCTTTGCGTCCTCGCGCCTCCACACTTACTGCGGCATAACCGGGTGTGAGTAGAGTTCACCGAAGAGGAATTCACGTTGACAGGCTGCCGTAGGCCTGCCGGCTCAGAATAGGGCTTCCGAAGCAAAATGTTTGAGGCAGTTAGAATTGTTTGGAAAACGGGGATAAACCTAAAGAAGGGATAGACAGGATATAAATGTTATGGCATAGATGTGGTATCAGGAAGAAGGGATCTCTGCTGAGAGAGGAGCGACTTTTGTCTGGCTGACAATTCGTTTAAAGGATAATAGGAAAGATGCCTGGAAAAGTAGCTTGGGGACTAGGTTGGTATAATTTTGAAGAGAGGGAAATCTATTTGGATCTTGACGGGGAGATCCTTGGACACTGGGGCTTAGAAGTGTGTTGTCGTGTCCACAGTGTTGTTTGTTGTCAAATCTGAGCTCCTTGATTTCCTTTCTGATTTCCTCATATGTAAAATGGAGGGATTGAACCGAAATTCTGCAAAGGTGCATTTCTGTTTATGGTTCTGCATTCCTGACTAGTTAGAAAAATAGATGCAGGAAAGCGTTGGGGACCTCAAATTGGGATATTATGGGGCTGGCAGGTGCTGCCCCTTCCATTCCCTTTGGTTTTGGAAGGTGCAGTGATATTTTAAGCTTTATTTAAATTTTAGATGTGTTACAACATAATGGGAGAGGTAGGACTGCTCTTGCCTGAGATCTGAATGAGACAATAACGTTTTGGACCTGTTGGCATTTAATTATTCTCAGGAAAATCCGGCAGAGGTTACAACATAGAGATTAAAGGAAAGTCGATCAGATTACACAAACCTAATGTGATTAGGTAGTTGGTGTTAGCACTTCACAAACTTGACTCACATATTTTTCAGCTCTGAGGTGGATCATTCCCAGTTTTAGAGGTAGGAAGAGTGAAAGAAGTGAAGGAATTCTAAGTTAAGTGGGGGTTTGGTTCAAGCTGTAGCTTCTGTCGTAAAGAAGCTACCAAGGACGCGGAAACTTCAACATTTATTAGTAACCTGTATAAAAATAATGTTTTGGGTGGAATTCATTAAGAATACAAATCATCCAGCCTGGACACTGAGTCTGATAATCACACAGCTTCCTTGTCATAAATCTCCCAACCAGATAACTTTTAGGAAATATTAAGTGGAGGGGCACCTGGGTGGCTCAGTCAGTTAAGTGTCTGACTGTTGATGTAGGCTCAGGTCCTGATCTCACAGTTTTGTGAGTTCGAGCCCCACATCGGGCTCTGTGCTGACAGTGTGGAGCCTGCTTGGGATTCTCCCTCACTCTCTGCCCCTCCCCCACTTGCACTGTCTTCTCTTTCTCTTAAATAAATAAAACTTCAAAAAAAAAAAAAAAGAAAACAAGTGGAGAATGGAAACCCAAATGACTTAATTCAGAGTTTCTTTGGTCTTTAGTTGTTTTTGTAGAATCTGGGTTATTTCATAGTTTCTTTGAAAAATAAACCTGTGCTGATTTCAGCACCCTAATAGGTATTCTGTGCCTCTGATTCTCTTTCAGTGGGTTGTCTTCTGGCCTCAGAGTATTCCTTACCAGAGCCTAGGGCCGCTGGGCCTCTTCACTCAGTACTTGGTGGACCATCATCACACCCTCCTGCGCAGTGGGTAAGGAGAGCTCCGGAAGTGGAGTGTGGCCAGCTCCAGCCCTACCCAAGACCTGGAAGGCCTGCACTTGCCTTTAGAGATCTAAGAGTGTTGCTGGTTCACATTAAGTCACCTTTCTTTTTGAGGTTTCTGTATTAGATTTCATCAGCAGATAACCATCACCTTAAGCAAGGCTGACTTTTGTTTCAGGTATTGGCTTGCCTGGCTGATTCACGTGGGAGAGGCCTTATATGCCATGGTTTTGTGCAAGTAAGTGTTGGGGTTTTTTTGTTTGTTTGTTTTTTGCAAGTAACTGTTTTTAATAGGTCTTTATCATTTTTCTCTTGCTATCTAATGTAAGTTAAGAGTAGCCACATTTAAATAATTCATGCCTTTGTAGGCCAAGAGCATTCTCAGCATAGGGTTGAATCACCATGCCTAATACTGAGCCTAGCCCAGAGGGAGTACTCAGTAAATATTTAACAAATGGATTCATTTCATTTGTGTTGGCTAGTCAATTAATGAGCTACTTAATTTAGATGGTTTTCTCATTAAAAAAAAAAAAAATTTCTCTAAATAGTCCCAACTAGAACAGAAGATTTGGAGTTTGCTTTCTAGTTTGAAAAAGAGCCAAGTTAGGGGAGCCTGGGTGGCCCAGTTGGTTGCGCATCTGACTTCGGCTCAGGTCATGATCTCACAGTTCGTGGGTTCAAGCCCTACGTCGGGCTCTGTGCTGACAGCTCAGAGCCTGGAGGCTGCATAGGTTCTGTGTCTCCCTCTCTCTCTGCCCCTTCCCCTATTTGTGCTCTTGTCTTTCTCTCTCTCTCTCAAAAATAAATAAACACTAAAAAAAATTTTTTTTTAATAAAAAAAGAAAAAGAGCCAAGTTATGGACATAGGCCATCGATTCTCAGATTCTCAGTCCTAGTTTCATGACTGAATCACCTGAGGAGCTTTCTCAGAATACACATGTCTGGTTTCCAGACCCAGAGATCCTGATTTGGTAGGCCTTGCTTCAGAAATGGGAATATGTTCTTTGTTTTCAAGCTCCACAAATAATTCTGGGTTAATTCGGCAAGTTAAAAAAAAAAAGCTTCTGGTCTAGAGCCTACTCAGCAGATGACAGCATAAGTTAATACTATGTGAGCGTATTTGGAAAGATTCTCTTTCCATTAGTACTTTACGTAAGCATGTAGAGACAGCATGCTGTCATGAAGCAATGGTTACCGTCATGCCAAATTTACTTTGCAATTAATTTTTTTCTGGTCGAGATGAACTATCACCTCTATTGTATTCTAAAGGTGAGAACTAAGATACTTTATAACAACTATCTTTTAATAATAAAGTAATTAATATTTATTAATAAGTTATTAATAAATAAATAAATTAATTTATTAAATTAATTATAAAACTATAAATTAATAAGTAAATTTTAAATTTTATTTTAAATTTATTAAATTAATTAATAAATAATTAATAAAGTTATTAATCACACTCTGTCAGATCCTTGCTAAGTGCTTCAAATAGATTATGTCACTCTGTCTTCTGATTTATGAAACAAGCTGGGCGCTCTAGGAGAGGAGCAGAAAGCTGCTTTATTCTTTCTCACCCCTCTCCAGTTACACTCACCCTATGGGTTATTGTCTGCCTCCCACTGGACCGTGGATGAAATCTGAAGTGGTTCCATAGGTTTTCCAGTCACTCTCTGATGTAATCCAGTCTAGTCCAGGCTATTTATTAAAACGATGAAACTGTTAACCAAAGTCAAAAGTGTCTGTTCTCATCCAGCTGGGGCTCAGGAGGCTGCCCTGGGGAAGAGAGTGTAGTTAGTGTCTTCTCTCTCGGGCCACCTCTTTTTCCTATTTGTTAGCGACAGCTGCTTGTGGCCCACCAGGGTGGGAGTAAGTTTGGGGAAACAGGGCACGGTCCGCCTTGTGGTCAGGCAGCTGGGGGCTGTGGATGTCGCATGCCCGGTGGTGGCTCGTTTTCTCCGGCGGAGGCCCAGTGGGTTTTTGAGAAAGCAGCCATCACTGGGGATCAGTCTCCCTTCTGCATTTCCCTTGATGGTTCCTTCCGCTGCCTCCTCCAGCCTGCCACCTGCAGTTTCCCTTCAGGATCTGTGGTTGAGGGGAAGTTTTCTTTTACTGAGATCTCTTCTACCCTTCAATTAGGGCCTCTGGGCCAGGGTCCCTTTTCAGCCCACCCATGCCTGTGGCCTTCCACCAGATCTGGATGGCTCACAGTAACAGCTTCCTTGTCCTCCCAGTGGGATAATCTGCAGATACATGCACTTCCCGCGTGTATGTTTGGTCTCCCATCAGGCAAGCTTTACCTGAGTCTTAACTTTAGAGTCAGATATTAATCTCTTCCCCTAAATTCCAGGGGACTCGGGTCAGGCTCTCCAAGTGGGTCTGTTGAAGCTGTTCTTTGAGTCTGACTTGTGACGGGAAATGCCGCAGCACTTGGCCCCTTCAGCCTTGCATTGAAATCTTAGCTTGGAGCCGTGTGGTCTAACCCCTCGAATTTACAGTGTTGGAGTATTTGACGCCTGTTCTGTTATGGGCATTTGGAGCCTCTAGTGAAAACCAAAAGACTCAAATTTAACATCCTGCTATCCAAGTCTTTGAAGGGTAGAGGAAGAGCAGGCATAGAGAGGTGAGGTCACTCTTACTATGTTCTTGAAGTTATTTCTTTATGGTCTCACATGTTGCAGTATATCATTAGTCACTGTACATCAGAATAAATACTCCATTTGAATTGTGAATGAATGAATGAATGAATGAATTTAAGTGAATGTATTTTTGTAACCTCCCCAATCACACTGTCAAGCCATAAAAAGGAATTGGTGAATCCCTTTTAACCAGAGAAAAGATTGGTCTATGTGTTTGACTTCATAGCCACCATAATATATATAAATGTAGATATCAACTCTTCTGTAACTTTTTCCATTGTCGCATATGCCTATTTTTTCATGTCTACACCTATAAATTTACCTCATTCATTTTATTAGTGCATAGTATTCTGTTACATGGCTGTGCCTCACTGTATTTCACAAATCCCCCCTCTGATGGACTTTGAAGGCTCTAGTTTTTTATTATTATAAATAATACTGCATGAACATGAATTCCTCATATATCCTGGCCCTTGTGTTGTTGCAGATTAAAGGGAAAGCTTTCAAATTTTGCACCGTTTTTTCTAGAGTCACGTAGACCTCTATTAGAGTAAGGAAGTTCCATCCTGTTTCTAAGTTAGCTGAGAACTTGTATTCAGAATGGATGTTGTCATTTCTCAGATGCTTCTGCATGTATCCAGATGATCATAGGAGTTTTCTCCTTTAATCTGTTAGTGTGGAAAACAATATCATTTCTACGTATACTATTCTAAATTAGAAGTCATCCACATAAGACTTATTTATATACAGATGAGACCAGCAAGCCATTCACTCCCATTAGGCCATTTTCTTTTGAGCTCTGTTTCAAGCAATTTAGTTTGCAGCCGGGTGTTTATTATTTCTGTGAGCCAGGCTTTTGACTAAGCACTGTGTGTATGTTATCTCCTAAATCATCCCCAAACTTGCTGGGATAAATACTGATACTTCTGTTTTTCAGAGGAGGACACGGAGTCTAAGAGAGGAGTGGCTTGCCCAGCCGTCACAGCTGGTAGTTGGCCAAGCTAGGATTTATGTCTGGTCTGCCTTCAAAACTCTTCCTCTGAAGGCATCCCAGTGCTTTTTAACCCTCCGCTCATTGAAGTCACAGGAGAAACTTTTTTTTTTTTAATGTTTTTAAACATTTATTTATTATTGAGAGACAGGGAGGGGCAGAGAGAGACGGAGACACAGAATCGGAAGCAGGCTCCAGGCTCTGAGCTGTCAGCACAGATCCCGACACGGGGCTCAAACTCACAAACCACAAGATCATGACCTGAGCTGAAGTCAGACACTTAACCGACTGAGCCACCCAGGTGCCCCAAGAAATAGTTTCATAATTCCACGCCCTAGGCAGTAGCCAGACTGCGTCTGAGGGAAGAGTGTACCATCCTGAATGCACAAGAAAAATGAAAATAAATGAACTAACCATGCGAGTTAAGAAACTAGAGGAAAATGGCAAAAATAAACCTAATGAAAGTAGAGAGAAGGAATATATATATATATTTTTAAAGTTTATTTACTTATTTTGAGAGAGAGAGAGTAGGAGGAACAGATAGAGAGGGAGAGAGAATCCCAGGCAGGCTCCATGCTGTCAGCGCAAAGCCTGATGTGGGGCTTGAACTCATTACCTGAGCCGAGATCAAGAGTTGGACACCCAACTGACTGAGCCACCCAGGCGCCCCTAGAAGGAATACATTTTTTAAGAAAATGGAAGGCTAGGGGCGCCTGGGTGGCCCAGTTGATTAAGCGTCCGACTTCGACTCAGGTCATGATCTCATGGTTTGTGGGTTCGAGCCCCACGTCGGGTTCTGTGCTGCCAGCTCGGAGCCTGGAGCCTGCTTTGGATTCTGTGTCTCCCTCCCTCTCTGCCCCTCCCCTGCTTGTGCTCTGTATCTCTTTCTCTCAAAAATAAATAAACCTTAAAAAATTTTTTAATAAATAATTAAAAAAATAAAAAATGGAAGACTAACTCTTATGAAACCATAACATAAAAATTCTGGTGGTTAAGTTTCTCTTTTTTATTTATTTATTTTTTTTAGGTCTAAAGGCATCACGGACGGTCGGGCTCAAGTGCTGTGGTTCCTACAAACTTTCCTCTTTGGGGTGGCATCTCTCTCCATCTTAATTGCTTACAGACCAAAACGCCAAAAACAAACTTAAGGAAGATATTCAAATGCTTTCTCTACACTTTTGGCCTTCCACTTCACTGTTTTGGGGGCAAGGAAGATGCTGACTTGACTTGATCTTTCTACTTTCCAGAAGTTGGAGACCGTCTAGTTATTCATTATTCTTTCATATGCTCTGGTTGAGCTTGACTGGATGACAAGAAAGGATTTAAGCTTCCCAGTTCTGTAGACAGACTATTAGGCAGAGGGTTTCCAGCTACCTTCTTGAGGTCATTGGCAGTGCTGGTGCTCATTCTGTTGTCTGGTTTAAGCTGTGCACCAGAATGGTCTGGTGGTAATATTTTGCTCCCACCTTCTGAGTAAACCCCATCTCAGCTCTCTTTTCCCCCAGTTTTTTCCACCTTTCTGAACCAAGACAGAGTGACATTTCCACGACACCTCAATTCCACACACGGTAGGCATCTGTGAGGCAGGATCTCATCCTCTTGAACTTCCTTTTCTCACACCACCAAGAAAAGATCAGAAAGATGAGCGGGTGCATGGAATGGGTCAGGCTGAGCAGTAACATAGAGGCACAGAGGACACACTGAGTACCGAGAGGAGAGGATTGGGGGACGCCTTCCCTGATCCTGCCAGCCCGAAGCCGTCCTTCCCTCCACGCGGCCTCTAGGACATAGCACTCTGTGGTGTGCAAGGGTCTGAAGGCCACTGCCGGATTGCTCCTTCCGTGCAGGATCACATCTCAGATTTATTTTTGTTTCAGCACCTGGCCCATTGCTTTGCACACAGGTGTCATACCAGCGTTTTCCGAACAAAGGACACAAACCGATGTAACTTTCCACGTGTTCAGTGTCATTCCAGTTGTTCTATGAAAACTGCAGAACCCACTCAGTGTATTCTCTTCTCAGAGAGAAGCACAGGACTGCCCTTGGCCGGTAGCGCCACCTTTCTGTGGGTTCCCCACAGAAACCTGTATCTTTTTCTTAGTCATTTTCTCCAGACTCTAACATCTCCCTCCTGCTCTGGCTTACTCTAACACAGATGTTCCTGAGCTAGAGATTCTAACTGGAAGCTAACGACTACCTCTCCCATTCACCTGATTAGACCTTTTTACTACTGACTGGTCAGGGCAGAAGGGTCACTGACTCTGTCCCCTGACCTTGGCCAGAATGGCTCAGTCACCTAGGAGCCATTCAGATTCCTTCCCAGGAAGATCTGTTCCCCAGGGACTAGACCTTATTTTCCTTCTATGATGCAGGAGGGCATGTTACCTGTTTTAAGCAAACGTTTATGAGAGGCAGCCCGCTCACCCCTAAAGAGGCCCCAAGTAAAAGTACAACCCTGAGAGATGATGGACTATGAATTGTTTCTGGTGGTGATCACTTTCTCCAACTAAATCTCAGTCTTTCCAGTTTCTCTGGTGGTGAAGGGGTTGCCTTTTGGTGAAGAGACAGATTTTTAATCATAGAGTTAAACATCATGGAAATCCAACCCAGATTTTTTAAACACATGGCCCTGTCAAAAGAGAAATAGTAATGACAATATTACAGTAATGGTGACAGCAACGATATGGCAGCTTATTGAATAAAATGCATTAACTTGAATAAATGCTGTGAATTGCCTTTTCTATTCAAATACTTTTTTGTATGTCAGTTCCATTATTGTCGCACATTTGATTTTATTCTTTTCTAGGTAGACTCTATTATGGAACTGTTTGTACAGTTCAGATTTTGAGGCTTTTTTTCCATGGATAAAGAAATGTAGAGGGGCGCCTGGGTGGCTCAGTGTGTTAAGCGTCCGACTTCAGCTCAGGTCATGATCTCACGGTTTGCGAGTTCAAGCCTGGCGTTGGACTCTGTGCTGACAGCCTGGAGCCTGCTTCAGATTCTGTCTCCCTCTCTCTCTCTGCCCCTCCCATGCTCATGTTGTCTCTGTCTCTCAATAATAGATAAACGTTTAAAAAAAAAAAAAAACGTAGAATGCCCTAGTTGCAGGGCATATGCTCCTCATTACATTTACAGAGCTGCCCAGGGCCCGCTTACCTCCATGCACACAGAGTCGGTGGACGTGAGTGTCTCCTTTCACTGTAGGAGTGTTCCCCTTTTGTTTTCATTTATATTTCATTCAGCATCTGATACATGCAGCAGGCAAGAGGAATATTTGTGCTCTTTTAAGTGCCAAAAGTATAAACTATAATCTCACTTGCGATATTATCATGGCTTACCGCAAAAAAAGGATCTTAATGAGCACACAGTGTAGGTCATTTTGTGGACCCATAAACTGCATCCCATCGAGGTGAAGTAACTTAACATCACATGGAGAGGCCAGACCTCAGCTGGATCTTGTGTCTCCCCTCCTCTGCAGCCCAGGAGCATAGAAATTAAGCCTGTGAAGCAAAAAATAAACAAATAACGGAGACCTGTTGGCTTTGTGTTGCAGCTGTAAAGGTGATAGGGGAGAAACATCCTTGTTGAGTTTGGATGAGAAAGGACCAGAAGCACCTTAATGGAAGCAACCGTGGGAGGCAGACAAACTAACCTGTTTTCCCCTGCCCCTACCCCGAAGATGTTGGGAGCATGTGTAGTTTGGAAGAACAAAAAAGAAAGGACTAATGGAAAAAACTAATGACCTCACCACTTAAATAGTAACAGACCTGTTTATAGTTTCTCCTTATAAACATTCAACTTATTTAGGACTCCATGCAGTCTACGTCTAAACATGTTTTCAAGCCACGGTTTTAAAACAAGTCTTGGGCTTAAGAGGTCCTATTCCAGATGGAGGGTCTTTGGCAAAACAGCTTGCCATCTGCGGGCTGTACGTATTTACACGGAGGGTCTGAAGACACACAAGGACAGTCTGAGCACCTGCCGTTGAGATTAGAGAACCCTGCAATCACGTTTTTATCTTTGCCTGGACCCTTCCTGGAACCTTGTTAATTAAAGCTCTTAGTTTGGCATAAATATCATTGATCTGCCCTTTATTGGCCCAGGCAAAAAGATGCTGGTAGGGCAGCTGAGTAATGTCTGTGTAAGCATAGGAGACACCTGTCCACAAGGCTCCTTGTCTGCCTCAAATTGGGAATTATGGTTGTCTCTTCATCAAGGTTAGACAAGTGAGAGACTAATTGTCATTTCACATTTCTCTTTATGAGGAAGAACACTATCCTCTGATTCCACAGCGGATATTTGAAAATCCTATTCAAAATACTGTATTTGTCATTTCTATGACCATTTTAAGATGGCTACTAGGCTTTCTTGATAGGATTGAGTTTACCGATTGCCTCCTTTTTGTTTGTAGTGAGGCATAAAGGTGGCTTAGGGAAAAAGCCTTTGACACCCTAGTACTGTCAGGGAAATGTTCATGTGTCAGGGGTGAGAGAGTGCATTGTGGGAATGGAGGTCTCAGTTCTTGGATTTCCCACGAGACGATTCACATGGGGGAACCGTGCTGCAATAAGGACAGCCAGCCAAAAGGAAACCGAGCACCAAGCAGTTTCCTAAAACGAAGGTATGCTCTCAAAATGGGAGAGAGAGCCGGCAGCTTCCCCAAGGTGGAACCAGCCCCTAGGTTGTTTTGGGTTTGGATATTATTGGGTCTCTCTGGGCCGGGAGCTGGGACACACAGTGGGGAAGCCTCTAAAGGAGGTTGTTGCCAACAGGATGGGAAACTCCTTCCACAGTAGGGCGATCACTGCCTGCTTTGTAGCCTGATCCGGCCCTTCTCCACGGGCAGGGCTGGACCCAATGCCAGTGCATATATTGAGTGTGGGGGTTACCCTGGGGCCCAGGTGGGAGAGGAGAGCACTTGTCCCGTTCCTGTGGCTCTTGATCTGTCAGGCCCAAGGTCTTGGAAGCCTCAAGGTCAGCCTCAAGCTCCCAGGCTTTGTGTAGCTTTTTCTTTCTTTCTTTTTTTTTTTTTTAAATCACCATCCTTGCCTCCAGCCCATGTCTCTATTGTTCCCCTTCAGGGGCTGGGGACTCTGTCTCTGGGAGTTACATTCACTTTTTCTTTGTACCAACAGGTTGCACAAGCCGTTCTTACTAAACAGAACTTAGTTGATAAAAACTGCCACCAAAGCTTTGATGTTGCTATAAAGGAGAGTAATGATAAGATAGGGAAGTGTTCCCTAACCCTCAGGCATGTGGGGACCACCCCCGCAAGGCTGGTCATGCCTATGCTACACAGGAATTCATTTTAAGAAATCTTCCTAGGGAAGAATAACTATGAAATGCCCTGCTTGGTTTGTTCGTTATATTTTTTTTTCCTCTGATACGTATGAGAATAAAGCACAGTTATTACCTAACTCACCAGGCACATTAATGATGCATTCAGCAAACTGTTAACAATTTAAGGGTATTACACTACGCAGTGATACTGAAGTGTGGCATTTCACCTGGCTCCAGGCACGAAATTTTAGGCAAGTTTGTCACCTTCCTGGACCTCAGTTGCATCAATTTTACATTGCGGCTGGGATGAAAGTAGAATGCTAAACGTAAGTGAAATAATCTAGATAAAGCAACTTGATACACTGTATCGTACTGAACAATAGTTTTATTGGAAAGCTGGTAATCACCAGTGATGCGTCCTGTGCTTGTTAAATGTACCCATGCAGATGGGTCACGTGAAACCTTGCAGAAATGCAGGTTCTGTGTGGGTTACGTGTGTGTAGCGGGGAGGGCGGGCACTCGGTAAGTTAACTGGTCTTGATGTTAAATTGAAATAGTTCCCTTTTTAAGGGGAAATACACTGATCAGTCTAGGAAAATGATTGGGGTAATAAAATGTGAGCTGAGGAACTAGGTACAACTCCCAGAAGAACAGAAATAGGATATATATCATTGCTTTTATTTGAAAAGTTGTAAGCGTTCAGAAAAGTTACAAGATGAGTATAGAGAACATCCATATACCCTTCACCTCCCAGGTTCACCAGTTTTTAACATTTTGCTGTGTTTGCCTTATCCCTCTCTTTTTGTCCCTCCATATATAATTGTTTCTTTTTTTCCCCCTGAATCATCTGAGAGTCTTTGTAGACACC